AATCGGTGCATGTGTTGTAATGAAGATGCTTTGTATAGGTGGTTGTTTTGTTTAAAGTTTAGAGTTGAATTATTTCAAGTAGAAGGGCGATAATATTTTAATATATATATTTCCGCAGTAAATGAAAGTGATGAATAGAAATGAATCATATTACTATGTGTAAAGAATTGGGTTTGTTTATATGTGGAATGATGTTCAAATATATAATGTAAGTTGGTTTTGAAAATTTACTTGAATTAGTTTAATAGAATTAGTATAGTTTTAGTGAACTTGATATCTGGTACTCTAAGGGAGTTAATGGAGGTGTAAATTGATATACATTTAGTAATAGGAAATCATGGTAAACACTTATTTTAATAATGGATGTAACTGGAAATATCTAGAAGTAAAACATGCTTTGGTTGATGTGGTGAATATATTTTAAGGCTGATAATATATGTTTCCTAGTATGACGTTAGATGATCATGATTATGAGTTTAATTTGTTAAGTATATAATATTATTGAATGGAGTTATAATGTTAAAAAGTCTGGATGATGGAAAACTGGTGCAAGGATCACTTTTAATATTAAAATGTTGATATTGAATTAAGAAACGTGTAATGGTTGTTTCGTCAATAATCTGTTTGCTGAAAATGCTGTCGTAAGTCATATGTTTGAGAAAAGTGGGTGTTTTAGTGGTTTTATTTGTTGTTAGTAAAGTGGTTTGGTATATATTATACTGTATACTTCATTTTCTCTTATGATATAAGGTTCTGGTTTGTGGTGAGAAATCTGGTGCATGCAATTCATTAGTGCTGAAACATGTTCACGATGCTATTTTAATTAAGACAAGAGTTATTGTGTTTTCACTGGTTTTGATATGTGCAGAATTAGAGAAATTAAACCACGATTAAGGGTAGCTTTTATTAGACTTTTAGATGTGGCAAGTATAGGCTAAAACCTGGTGCAGAGTTACTAGGTGCTGTTTTGCCATGATGTTTATAAATGAATAAAGAGATGCTAGGTAGTGCTTGTATAAAGTCTAAAGTAGGATAATTGGTGATGGGTTGCTTAAACTTATGAGTAGATCTGTTGTTTCTTGACGTTTGGGTGAGTTGCAAGGGTTTAGATTTCATTCAAATATGTTCTGATGCCAAATATGTAGTAAGAGTTTTCTAAGGATCATATTTCAAACTTTGTGTAAGGTAATGGTCTTAATTAAGGTTATATGGCTTAGAGTTGAAATGGTCACTGATGTTCCACTGTTTTCTCATAGATTTAACGCTAACCATGATTTGAGGCACTAGAAAACCTTGCTGATCTTGTGTTTAGACCGTATTATACCATGTCTTCCTTCATAACTAGTTTTGGTTTAAATAGCTAGAAACTGATAGACAGTTTTGACGTGAAACAGTGGACATATTTTGGCCGTTTTGGGGAGCTGTTTTTGGTGCAGCTGTTGAAGGAGGATTGAAGCACGTTATTTTACAGCTGATTGGTGCAATGGGTTGTTTATTTATTCTTTGGTTTGGAGGTGTAGCTAGAGAAGATATGAAGCCGGTGAGGATGTATGGAGACCGAATGATGTCGAATAGTCAAACTATCAAGATTGAAAAGTCAACAAATTAAGGTTAAGAGAGGTCAAGATGCAGATGATATAGTCCAGCTTGGTTGTACTGAAGAATTGATAGGTTGACATCGAAAGAGGTCAAAAGACAGGTGAGACCGAACGACTAAGCGGTTAAGACTAAAAAGTCAATAGGTTAAAGTCATGAGAGGCCAAAATGAAGATGAGGTCGAGCGTTGGATTGTCAAAACTAAAATGTCTACAGGTGAGGCCGAGAGGCCAAGATGCAGATCAGGCTAAGTGGGAGAGGTTGGTCGACCAACATGTTGGAGCCGAAAGAGGCTATGAAGAAGAAGTCGATTGAGCTATGATATTGAGATTGACCAAGACCATGCGGGAGAGGTCTGACAACATGTTGGAGCTGAAATAGACTGAGAAGAAGAAGTCGAATGAGGCTATGATATTGAGATTCGCCAAGACCATTTGAGAGAGCCTAGATAACCAACATGTTGAAGCCGAAAGAGGCTGAGAAGAAGAAGTGACATGAGGCTATGATATTGAGGATGACTGAGACCGTGAAGCTGAGAGAGGTCGAGAAGAAGAACCCGAGGCTATGCTATTGAGGTTGACCGAGATCGTGCAGCAGAGGTCGAAAGGTCAACCTGTTTTGGGATGGTAGGGTTGAACGATTGAATGGTTGACTTCTTCCATTATACCATTCATCTGGTTCCTTTCGATTATAATGAGAGTAAAATATATGCTTGTTCTGTCTCACGGTGAGTGTCAAAATGTTTTTGTAGGTCCTTGGTCGAGCTTGTAGGAAGTCTTAAACATCAAGTATTGTTGATTTCTGACATGATTTTCCCTACGTTCGAGTGCCTTTGTTGCATTTTGTGGTCGGATGGGTGTTGGATCATCAATTTCTCATTTACACGTCTTCCAAATTTCGCTCAGATGACACCTATAGAAAGTACTCTGATGCCAACGTCAATAAATGACAGGTCGATTGACAATTAATGTAGTGATGCATGTTATGTGCTTGTATCTAAAAGTCATACCTTAGACCTTTATTTATAGTGATTGTTATGAACTTTTATCTTTTTTCCTGGCTTAATCATGATCCCATCACATCTTAGCCGACATTAATATGTTGATTCTTGATTACCAATTAATTTACCATTCAATAAATGTCGGCCATGTCGTTTGATTAGATTGCTCGACCATGAGAAGATGTTTGAGAAGTTGGCCTTGAGAGATTGACCAAGAGCAGTTAGGTCAGAAGAACTCAATCTCGATGAACTCAGAGCAGAGGAACTCAACCTAGAATAATCAGTCTATAAGAGTTCTACCTAAAATGATCAATCTAGAAGAATTTAACATAAAATCATTAGTCTATCCAAAATAATCTATTTAAAAAAATCTAAAAATACTTGACCTACACCATTCAGTTTGACCTAAAAATACTTGACCTAAAAGCATTCGGCCTAGTCAACAAAAAGAACTCGGCCAAATAGAAATACGTACTATATATGATGATAATTTATTTTATAAGAAATCTATTATAACCATAAGACAAATAATATTTAGGGTGTATATTTTTGTTTTCTTTTCTTTTCTCCAGTTGTGCTTCTAATTTCCCCTTTTTTTAATAGGTCTTTTTAAAAATGATTACTCTCTTGAAACTACTTGAATAGATGTTGATTGAAATCTATAAGACCAATATTGTTTTTCCTTTTCCTTTTTATATGGAAGGATCCGTAAAAATTGTAGGTATGGCACAAAATTGTTGAATTTGACTCTAGCACAGAGTTTGGTGGGAGAATACCATTGGTGCAATAAATGAGAAATATAAAACTTCAGAAACATTGGAGCTATAAATTAGGTCGATACATCACCAACTACTCAAAAAAACTATTTTCAAACTTCCTTATATGGAGTTTAAATTCATACTCAAGTTAAATATTTGACAAAGAGGAACATGTTATCTTCATCTTTATTTTCAAAATAAGACGTATGCAATCGTTCATGATAAATTATATTTTCTGAAATTCATTTTTTATATTGACCTACTTTTATATATTTTTACTCTTTTTTTTTTTGGGTGTGAGACAAAAGTGGATTGTTTTGATATGATACATGTATTCTCTGTTTGATATTAATTCTTTTATATGTTTAAATTTTAGTTCGTGAAATATTTTTAAATTCTACAAATGTGAGAAATTCTTGTTTCAGTAAAATTTAATTTTTTATTTTTTCGTAACTGAGCACTCATTTTTTAAATCCATTAAATAATAGAATCTTAAGGGCTTTCAACTCATAAATAAGTCAAAAGAGACATGTAATATTTAATGGATCTATAACAATTGCAGAGTTAATTTTTGAAAAATAATTCTGACACTACTACACTAACTAAATTTTATTTTTTTAGAAAGATTAAAACCTAAATTGCGTATAATTAAAAGGATTAGAAACATTTTTAATTTTAATTTTTAGTCAAAGCCATAATTATTTATAAAGGGAAAATCTCTATCGTATCCATAATAGGCAATAGAAAATTGGGTAAAAAATATCATAAATATTGATCTATAAGTATAAATATATGATTTAATAACTTATTATATAAATTTATTAGAGTATACTTGTGACTTTATTTGAACCTAAAAACTAGGATAAAAATGTTAAATCTAGAAACAGGTGATAACATCGTTTTCAAAGATTTATTCACATCAAAACGAAAATTGGGAAAATTTTCTGGATTACGCAAAGCATTTCACATCAACTTAATAGCACAGAGGATGAGGATGAGAAAAAAATGAATGAAAAGAAAAGAAAAACACATAAAGTCAAATATGAGAAAGAACGTACCATCGCAAAAAAGGAGTTTTGTCTATTACAGTAGACGGGATTTGAAAAAGTAAACTAATAAAGCAAGTAAAAAAATTATTAAAAATTATATGTTGAACGAGTTGGCAAAGATAACGATTTATCTCAATTTTTTAAAATAAAAAGATAAGTAATCTAATTTTAAAATAAAAAGTTAAGTAATCTAATTTTAAAGTAAAACAGTTTTGTTACTGCTCATCTAATTATTGATAAAAGACTGGATTTCATCAATATATTATTATATAGCCAACAAATTTGCCCACGTCAAAAATCTAGTTAGACCAATTCATATTTAATTAATAATATGGCATTTTGAGAGTCAATATGGTTTTAATTTCAGAAGAAAAAAATGTTTTTTTATTCTAATTTTTATAAAAGCTTATTTGGTTTTAATTTTCAATAAACGAAAAAACTTAACTATCATTGATTTCTGATACATTATTTAAAAAAAACTTGTATGGTCATCAAAAATATCTGTGACGTCACGGTAATACGTGATATTTCGATTTTAAATATTGGAAAAATAAAAATATTGTATGGTCGGATGGAGAGAAATGTAAAGATGAATTGTTTGAATAATTTTTTCCTTGATGTCATTTGTTTATACAATTGGACTCTATTTTATTCGCTCTCATTACTTAATGAGGGCATCGGAAAAAGCAAACGATGAGAAGTGGCGAGCGAATCCGAATGCCAACGACAACAAATCTAGTACCAAGTCATGAAAGAATTAACGTTAATTAACGAAATTCAAGAGCAGGATTAACTGACGAACGAAACTAAGACCTAGCTAGAAAAAGACATGATCAGAAGAAGAAGAAGAAGTTAAGCTGAGAAGCTGTTCCAAGTAGTCAGAGCCCAAATCCTCGAGCACCAAGACATTCTGTGAAAGCACATTTCCATGGTGGTGGTCCCTTTTGGGCTTTTTGTTTGTGGCTTTGGATTTTCTTCTCATGGTGTGTTTCTTCTTGAGTGCCAACACTGGTGAGGAACCATCTTCCCATGGCTTGTTGGGCATGTCTTTCAGTGATTCTCTCACAACTTCTTCTGGAAAGTTGAGCACTGCCATGGAACCTCTTGTGGAGAAAGCTGCTTGGTCATAGGCAAGTGCTGCAGCTTCTGCTGTGTCAAATGTGCCTATCCACACTCTAACACCATTTCTTGTGGAGTCTCTTATCTCAGCGGCAAACTTCCCCCATGGCCTTCTCCTCACTCCCCTAAAGGGTCTCTTCTCCTTAGGACCTTGTGCTTCTTTCACCACATGTCCTTCGCTTGCATCACTTAGATTGGAGGACACTTCCACCTGTGACTCACTGCTCACCAAACACCCTGAAGAGTTGGAATCTGATGAGGATGATTCCTTCATCTGTGACTGCTCATTGAAGCTGAAGGGAATATTGGTGTTGTTTTCTTCATTGAAGAGAAAAAACTCCTCCCAATGGAATGTTTCTGCACACACAGAAGAATTTACAAAGGGACTGTTAAGGCTTTCGTACTGGAACATAGATGAATCAAAATCCATGTCTTTGTAAACACCAGATTCTAGCTGTTTTGCTTTTCTTGTGTTTGTTTACAACTTGTTTAGAACAAATGTTTGGGTGCTTGCTTCCTTTATATATTACTCATTGAATACAAGCAAACATAATGACCAAGAGATTCATAGATGATGGATAAATAAATGAAAATTGATAAAAATAAATAAATGAAAATTGTACTATAAAGTCGAAGTTGGAATTATTGGTCAAGGAGGATGTCTTTGGATATCTATTTTTAATGTTATTGAAATTGTACTATTAAAAGATGGACCCGTATATGGTCTAAATATGTATAGAAAGGGTTAATTAAATAACTCCTAAAAGCACCTTCTTTTACATTAACATTGGATTTGGATTAGCCAAACAAAGAATAGGGAGTGGATACAATTTTCAAACTATGTCTATAAAATAGTAATGAAAAATATAAAAAGTAATAATATTTTATTATGTGATTAATATTTTATTAGTGGAAAATTTTTATTGGTAGAAAGTGTTACGTGAAAATCGAACTCCCATGTTTTGGAAAAAGGGATAAATAGAATTATAAAAAAAAAGTATTTAAATGATTAAAAAAACAAGGTACTAGAAGTTTTGTAGTGAATGATTTAGTCACGTGTATGGAAAAATAAAATAAAAAACGTGGGCAACTGGAGAGGGAGAAGGGTTGGAGCAACAGGTTGGTGAGTGGCTAAAATGAATGATTCAAAGGAAAGGAAAAGGGTGGTGGAATGGAATGGAAGGGCATAGTAACCAAGACTCTGTTTCTTTGTCTCAGTGTCACAATCACTCTCATAACTCAACCTTTCTTTTTCTCTTTTTCTTTCTCTTTCTCTTTGTTTGTCGCATTGCACACACCTCACACCATTGAGTGACTGGTGAATGAGTGAGTGTCTTTGTATTAATTGCAACCGCTTCACATAGCACTGATGTTGAACTCAAACCAAACCCCACCTCATCATATCCCCACTAAGTTGGAAATTTTATTTATCTTTTTTTCATTTTTAATACAAAATTTTATTTAATAACATAGAGTTAAATATATTTTTACTTTTGTTTGTTGGACATATTGTTTAACTAGTTATCGAGTTACTATAATATCACTCATTAATATTTACTATAACGCATGAGATATATATACATCAACGTGAGGAATGTGGTGGAAGTCTCACATTGATTAGAGATAAGGTCAATTTATAGTATATAAGTGGGTTCAAACCTTTCCTTACAAATCAATTTTGTGGGGTTGAGTTATGCTTAGAAAATTTATGTTGCCTATGCTACTACACTTGTTGTTTTCAATGGTGGCGTCATCTACCAAGATTCAAAGCATCAATGTTGCTCTTTTTCCTTTTTCAGGTGTTCCGATGTTGTCTTTTTTAACCTCCCTTTTGTCACCATTGCATTTGACTCATTCATATATGTTTTTTTTCCATGGCAAAGATGACTTTTCTTAGTTTATTTATGGTTTTGGTGACTATTCAACAATGAATTCTTTATTCACTGAATGTCAATAATGTATTCCTTAAAGGATGATTTGCAAGAAGAGATTTACCCCATATTTATTGTTCAAGGGAAGTTTTCTAGGTTGATATTTCACCTTATATGTCGTCTTTTCAAATCATTAATAATTTGATGTCACTAGAGGACAAAAGTCTATATTTTCAGTAAGACTTTATTAATTATATTAATAATAAGCTTGATATATACAATTTGTATATACTAGTTTAATAAAAAGTGTTAAATATATTATTTTTGTTTAGTTTGTTATTATTTTTATTTATATTTTAAACTTAATATATATTAATAAAGTATCTCTGTACATAATTATATTAATAATAAGATTGATATATACAATTTGTATATATCACTCTAACAGAAATGGTTAAATATATTATCTTTATTTAATTTATTATTATTTTTATTTATATTTTGAGCTTCACATATATTAATTCATATATTAATAAAGTAACGTGTATATGTTGCTTGGTGGATTTACTACCATGCTTTGAACATGAATGGGTGGTGAAAATGGAGGAGATGGTCTTGTCTTTCATCTTAATGGTTTGACAAGTCATAAGGCTCAAGCTTTCAAACGGAGAGGGAAGGAGGTGCGGTGCAAGGATAAAAAAAATAAGCTTAGAGTTTTTATTATAAATTATAGAAACTAAATTATTAAAGAATATATTATTTAAAAAATAAAAAAAACTTTAATTCGATAGCGGAAGGTCATCCCTCCATTGGAACATGATTGAGATGTGTCCGCGATGTTCAGCAACGTTCCAAGAACCTTCCTCTGTCTTATCTACGTTAGTGAATTCTATACCCTAAACGATATGGGACCCAAATCACATGCTACGTGTCACATCAGCCGCCAGCGTGCCTGTTTACCCCCCTACATTCAACGGCATATAATATTTATGGCACAGTTTTTTTTGTTTTATGGTCTACAAAATACCAGTTAATTAACCTAACCCTTCCCACAAAAGTTAATTAATTTATCTCTGAATTATTACCGTATAAAGTTTTAACCATTACAACATGTTAGAAAGAAATGTAATGAAGCATTCAGTACCGATTATATATAAGAATAGGGTTGAAGTTCAAAGGAGACGTTGGGTGTTCTAGAAGAGTCATGAAATCAACGGACCCTTTTGTTTTTAATGATTATTATGACGGGTGAAAAATAAAGATTGATAATGGATGCCGTTTTGATAATGATTCTAAAAATGTTAAGAGAATGCAGACGAAGTGTTTGTAGGAATGATTGAAACTTTTTAGTGTTGGCCATGTATGATGATCAAGTTGCGTAGTAAAGGAGGTGCCACTTGGTGATATTAAATGTTTGGAGTGAATTGTTTATTGAGGGAAAGAAGATACATGCATCTTTGTATCTCTCTCTGATCTCAACTTGAACATTTGACATTTGATTTTTGCCATAAAGATTGGTTGAGACAAGGATCAGCTGGTCCACCAGATCGTCCGGTCTCAGTTTCAAAGTTCAAAGTCAAGAGGAATAACATATAGAAGCCTTTGTTGAATGTATGATCTTTCTTTCTTTTTCTTTTATCTCTCATTACTTCTAACCAAGTTATAGCAGGGAGGACAAACAATATCCACCATCACAATTGCCTTTCAGATACGTAAGTTTTCGTATACAAAAAAATAACACTATTTTTAACACCCCGTCACATCCGTTCCGTTACAGTTTCTTTTTTTATATTATTAAGTGAAATTGATGTATGTCTAAATTTATTATACATAGACTGTGTATATTTGAATTTGCAACTTCTCTAACTTTTTCTTATAAATTTATTAAATCAATTTTGTAACTCTTATATTAATAAAAAGTTGAATCCAAAACATTTTTATCTTTTCTTTCAACTTTATCATTTATAATTGTTTAATGTATATTAATGTCTAATAGACATAATTGATATTCTATAATTTGATTTGAAAATTTTAAAAATAAAATGATGAAAAAAATTAACCCTCTAAGATTTGTGTAAGGAGTTATTTTCAATGTTTACAAACATCTTTATATGTGTTAGAAAATTTGGATGAATACAATAATAATTCATTGTTATTATCTTCTTATCAGAGTCATATGATGTATTTCTTAGACTTTCCTACCACAAGACATACACTTTGACATCTTCATTCTCGTCAAATGTATTCGGGTCCTCCTAGGTGCTCATTAGCATCTTCTTCTTTTTGTATTTGGGCCTGATTGACTTCTTTTTCATCTTTTCAATCTTGAGACATTCTGATATGAAATATTCAGGTTTGTTGCACATATAATAAATAATTGTGTCTTCTAGTCATTTGTCTTTTGGATTGTTCTTTGAGCCAGATCCAAAGTGTCTACTCTTGAACATCGTCTTCCTGACAACTTTGAGCACGATACTATTGTCCTTTTTTATGGAACCATCTTGTAGGAGTTCAAGCTCGTGTACTTTTAGAATTATGACCAGTTCTTCTAGACTTATTTTGTTAAGATTTTTTGACGTTCTAAGAGTCGTGACATGTGGTCTCCATTGTTTGGGAAGACATCGTAGGATTTTATTAATATGATCGAAGTTGTCATATGATTTTCCAAAGGATTTGAGCTCATTTAGGATTGTTTGTATTCTACTAAACATGCTTTGGATCTTTTCGTTTTCAAGCATAATAAATAGCTTGTATTGTTTGGTCAACAGACTCAACTTATATCTTTTGACTTCGCTCGATCCTTCATAGGTGACGATCAGGGTGTCCCACGTTTCTTTAACTCCTTGGTAAGCATGAACCATTTTTTACTCTTCTTCAGAGAGAGAGCACATTAGAGAGTTGCAAGCTTTGGAATTTAACAGGTAGTGCTACTTCTGCTAGTCAATCTACTTGCTTCTTAAGAGTTGTTCTCCTTTTTCATCTATGGTTATGTAATTGTTGTTCTCCACAACATCCCTCATTTCAATGTGACATGATTCAAAGAATGCAATCATTCTTTGCTTTCAGTAGTCAAACTTTTCACCCTAAAAGGACAATTGATGGTATATCCTTTGAACTTTTCACCCTTTGTTTTCGCAACTCTTCTGATATAACATGTTTTGTTGAGTATGAGAGTTATCGAATAATTGTTAAACGTTCGACTTCAAGTGATTGTAAACGATGACTTCTTTTCACGTACTATTCGGAATATATATATA